GGGGGGGACTGGGGGGGGTGCTGACCTCTACTTTGGCCACCGCACTAAGCTCCCACATCCGATAGGCCACCTGCGCCGCCTCGGGGAAGAACTCACCTGCAGCACTGCAACGGGAGGGCAAGGACAGGGGACAGTGAGCCGTGGGGACCCTGTGCCCTGCCAGCAGCCACCCCTGCACCACATTCTGCCCCTTGACCAGGGCTGTTTTGTACCCAGGGTGCTGGGCACAGGGGCAGGAGCCGGGTGGGAATGGGGGGAAGAGGGTGGTAAATCCCAACCGCCTCCATCAGTGCATCCTCTCTCCAGGGGTCTTTACCCTGGTCTTTACTTTGTCTCTACCCTGTGGGGCTGCCACATGCCAAGAAGGGACCATGGCATCTTGGTTGGCCATGTGGAGGGGCCACAGGGCCCCCCCATAATGATCCACTGTTGCTGCAGGTGCTGCTGGTCCAGGTGCTCCACCAGGCTCTGACCTGGAGGTTTGTACCCAGCACCAAGGGGATGAAAAGGGAGAAAGAGGGGGTGATGAGCAGTCTTACTCATCGTCTCCTCCACACAGCTTCAGCAAGGCCTTCTTGTACTCCCCAGAGGTGTCCTCCTGGAAAGACAGGTGGAGATGGAGAACCACGTGGCAAGGAATCATAGAATCATAGTATCATGGAATGGTTTGGGTTGGAAGGGACCTTAAAGCTCATCCAGTTCCAACCCCCCTGCCATCAGCAGGGACACCTTCCACTAGACCAGGTTGCTCAAAGCCTCATCCAGCCTGGCCTTCAACACTTCCAGGGAGGAGCAGCCACAGCTTCTCTGGGCAACCTGTTCCAGTGTCTGACCACCCTCACAGTGAAGAACTTCTTCCTAATGTCTAATCTAAACCTCCCCTCTTCCAGCTTAAACCCATTTCCCCTTGTTTTGTCATTAACTGCCCTTATGAAAAGTCCCTCCTTCAGGTACTGGGAGGCCTCTATAAGATCTCCCTGGAGCCTTCTCTTCTCCAGGCTGAACAGCCCCAACTCTCTCGGCCTGTCCAGGATGGTCAAGGCAGTGCCATGGGATGGGCAGATGGAGAGGGGTCTCCCTGAGCCTTGTCCTCAGAGATGGACACCCAGCACAGCAGGGCTGGGGAGGGGGCTCAGACCTCCCATGGGCACTGGCATCACCTGGAAGGTAACTGGGAACCCCCAGTACTTACCTTTATCATGTTGTAGAGAGATTTCTCATACTTGGTCCTGAACACCTCCCGGATGTCCAGCATGTCGATCTCGCTGCGGGACACCATGATGCGGATCAGTGTGTTGTCTCTTGTGCCCAGGCCCTGCAATGGAAGAGCCCCTGCATCAAGCCTGGGATGGCCAAGCAACCCCACTCAGCCCATCATGTTTGGGACCCTCTATCAGGTTTCATACAATCACAGCCTGGTTTGGTTTGGAAGGGACGTTAAAACTCATCCAGTTCCAACCCCCCTGCCAGCAGCAGGGACACCTTCCACTAGACCAGGTTGCTCAAAGCCTCATCCAGCCTGGCCTTGAACACTTCCAGGGAGGAGCAGCCACAGCTTCTCTGGGCAACCTGTTCCAGTGTCTCACCACCCTCACAGGAAAGAATTTCTTCCTCAGATCTCATCTCAATCTCCCCTCTTCCAGTTTGAAGCCATCACCCCTTGTTCTGTCACTCCCTGCACTTGTCAGAAGTCTCTCCTCACCCTTCCTGGAGCCCCTTCAGGTACTGGGAGGCCACTATAAGATCTCCCTGGAGCCTTCTCTTCTCCAGGCTGAACAGCCCCAACTCTCTCAGCCTGTCCTCACAGCAGAGCTGCTCCAGCCCTCAGATCACCCTTGTGCCCTCCTCTGGACTCGTTCTAACTGGTCCATTTCTACCCAGCCCCAAGTCTGAAGCAATAACTCGTTTGAAGGGAAGAGCAGAGACCCCAGGTCACATAGGTCTTGTCTTCATGGACCTGTGTCACCCTTCCCTCCAGCAGCACCCCGTGGCAAGGGGACCCCTCCTCTGGCCAGTTCCCTGCAACGTGGTGGGGGACTCCATGAAGAAGTGATCCACTCACCTTCATGGCCTTGTAGAGCCTTTCAGCAAAATACTCCGCTGTGCTTCTGACACACTTCACTGTGGGGAAATTGAGGTGTGGTGAGGGATGCTGGCACCCGCCTTCACCAGTGTCCCCAGCCTCTGAGCACGTGTGCTCCTTGGGACCACGTTCAGCATTCCCACCCACCCTGAGGGAGCCTCCCTGAGCTCCCTGAACCCGGGTACAGCCATGACCCCAACCCCACTGGCTCTGCACTGAGCCCTCCCACCCTGGCAGAGCCAGTGGCGTGTTTTCACAGCACTCCCCACGCAGGGGCTGACTTACCCACGGCCAGCATCAGCTTCTCAAAGTCACCAGAGAGCTCTCCCCGGATGCTTCTCTCAATCGGCTTCCCAGAAATCTTCAGGTACTCATCAAAGACTGTGGGATGAGAGCAAGGAGATGCCTGGAAAAGCTGCCAAGATACCTTCAAGCCCAACCCCAAGCTCGCAGGAGATGCTCACCCAGGCGGAGGTGCTGCTTGCTTCTCCGGCCAAGGATGTAGATGAACTGGGCCTCGTCTGTGCCCCATTTCAGCTCACCAGCTTCCAGCAGGTCCTTGTGGGACAGGGAAGGTGGCAGAGCCCAAGTCAGGGTGCTGCTCATGTGGGGCTCTGCCCAAGCATGGGCACCCTTGGCACCCACCCGCCTTTGGCAGGCCTAAGTCTGGGTGGTCCCAGTGCCACCAGCACCATCCTTGCCCAGATGCCACCCATCCCAGCAACGAGCCGAGCCTCACCTTGGCATCCTGCTCCACCAGGTCCTCGCTCACCACATCATCCTCCTCCCTGGTGCCCTGTGGGACAGAGATGGGCTCAGCCCTGCTGGGTGCAGGCATCCACCACCTACAGACGTTGGACAGATGGACATACCTGAAGCAAAACGACGAGCATCTTCTTGAAGTGGCCTGATGTGTCTCCAACGATGTCAGCCTCCAGGTCTCTCTCATAGGCTGGTGGAAGAGGGAGAGGTCAGGGCCTGGAGAGCTGGATCTCCTCAACCTCTGCCCCAAGGGGACACAGGGCAACCCCTGCCCTTCCCCACCCCTCACCATCTTTGTAGGCAGCCACCAGGTCATGGATCTCCTGGTTGGTGCGGGAGGCGAGGATCTCAATGAGGCACTTCTCATCTGTGCCGATGCCCTGTGGGCAGAGACGCAGCCCCATGAGCAGCAGAACCAGCCAGGGTGTCCTCACAGGGGCTCTGGGGGGGCTGCCCACCCCTTACCGCAACGGCATCTTTGATCTCCTTGGCATCACTGTAAGCTGGGGGCCGCATCAGGCTCACGATCAACCGCTCAAACTTCCCTGTCAGCTCGTACTTGAGGTCTGCGATGAGGTCCTGGTGGAGGGGGAGAAAGGGGCTGGGAGACCCTTTGCTCCACAGCATCTCTGAGTGGGTCCAGGGAGCAGCAGGTCCCCAGGACATGGACCAGGGAGGGTTTCTGCCATTACCTTCCCATATTGGGACTTGTAGGCTTGACAGATCTCCACTCGCTGCTTGTTGCTTCTGGACGTGATGAGGTCGAGGATGGCCTCCTTGTCACTGCCTGAGAGGACAGCCAGGAGTGACATTTAACCCCATGGCTGGGTCTCACCCCCCACACACAGTTGGGCTCATCATAGCCATCCTGCCATCCCCAAAGCTGGGCCAGGAGGAGGGAGCTGAGCTGGCTCCAGGGAGGAGAGGGGAGCCAGGAGAGGTCCTGGCACGCTACTAAAGCAGACAGACAGCTGAGAGGGGAGGCAATGCAGGATGCCCAGCCATGCAAGGGTCAATCAAAGGAATAGGGGACATCAGGGTGGCCACGGGGTGACAGTCCAGAGGAGCATCCATACCAAATCCCTTCATGGCATTGTACAAGGCCTCTGCATCCTGGCTGGCATCAAAGCCTGGGAAATCCTTCACTGACCCCCTGTAGACCTAGAGGAGAGGAGGTAAGAAGGTGAAAGGGGAAGGAGCAGTCCCCAGTGGGATGGAGGGAAGGAGAGGTTGAAGCTGAGCAGGACTAGGGTGAAATCTCCTCCTGCTCGGGCTGCCTGACGGCAAAGCTCAGCCTCAAACATAAACACTTGTTCTTCTCCTCCGTTGTTTCCTTTCCTGTTTGCTCTCCCCGCTGTGCAAATTGTTTGCGTTGCTGGGTCACTGGAGCACACAGCCTTCCCTCTCCTATCTCGCTGGCATCGCTCTCTGCTGCTTGTGCCCTGTGTTTAAGGTGGATACAACCCTCCCTGCCATGCCAGCAAGAGCTGGTGGTTTGAAGGGAGGTTTCTTGAGCACATTTGGG